AAATTTAAAATTTGGGCTTTCAGGTGAATATGTCTGGCGCAGGATTATTTAATACTCGTTTTTTCTACAATGCGTGGGACATAATACATGCAGATTCTTCATTATATTAAAAAATCTGATGTGGACACCACATGACTTCCTTGTACGGAATATTAAATTATACGCATTTTTTTCTTGAATTTCATTTAAATTGATTGGATTGAATGAAATCTACTTCGTCGACAGCGCATAAACCACAATAGAATAAATGCACTCTTTAAAATTCACTATATTTGTTTACTATAACGACTCTCTGAATGCACAAAATTTATATCATTTGAAGAATTATCTTATCGTTGCCACATATTCTATTCAAATACTATAATATAGCTAGAACGATGTATGAGAGAAATTAAGCAAACAAAACAGAAAAGAAACAGTTTTTCACAGACGATTTAGTATTTCTCATTCAATTAATTCAGTTCTCACTTCGCGACAAAACAAAAATAAAAACTAAAAATATCCGTATTAAAAATTACGAAGTAAATCTTAAACACTTATTTCCTCGAATAAATTCCAGAATGAATTAAGCATGATTTAATTCGCAATAATAAATGAAGGCGTTAATTTTTGTTGTTGCGAAGCTTAGTCTCTCTAGATTGGCAACAAATCTACAATTCTGCTGTTTCAAATGTAAACAAATATGTCCGCCATGTTATTTAAAACTTAACCGCACTTAAACTTAACAACTTTAAATTGTTGATAATTGTACAAATATTGCTTCCAGAATTACGAAAGGCATAAAAACCTTAACCGGAAGATAAGAACAACATAATTCAATCATTTTTAAAGCAAAAAATGTACAATTTACAAACATATAAGAGTAAAGAAACTAAGATCACTGAGCCGAGTAACAGAGTGGATATATATATAAATATAGTATTTATATACGTTTGGTGCGGCCGATTGCAACCAAAATACGAGGTGCACATCTACATGCTATAGCAGTCCTATATACAAAATTTCAACGTTCTGAGGCTACTCGTTTTCGAGTTATGCGAGGTACGTACGTTCGTACAGACGCCACGAAAAATTCTCTTCAGAATTAATTTTAAAGCAGTTTTATTATTTCTTTGGAGGAAACGAGTATTTTATTCTGTCCTTACGTACAGATATCACGCAAAAACATCGTTAAATTGCATTCGATAGCGGTCAAAATGGATATTTTCGTTGAAATATGCTGCCTGAAACTTTTCGCGATTACAATACTTCCTTTTTACTTCGTACAAGGAAGTAAAAAAGCGAGCAAACTTCTCATTATCCAACATACCTTGAAAGTATAATTTCTTTACGAAATACAATTATCGTTATTTTTACTGAATTGTGCGTTTCATTTAAAATACTTTATCCATCTAAATATGTTATACAGTGTACTGTGTATCTCTGTTATAGAAATAAAAGATAAATTACGTACTGATTTCAATACGCTGTAATTAATGAATGTCTAGCATGAGGCCAAAATATTTATTTTAGTTCATCTACTTGAAAATAATCCACTTTTGGTAATTCCGTATTATTCTACCGTAATTTAGCTCCGTTTATGTCGCATAATGGGACTGCATTTCAAACTAAGAGGGTGAAAAAGTTCTCCGTAAACCGTCGTTTAACCTATAACTAATTCCAAATGGTTTGTTTCGCCAGGTGAAATGGAGCATAAAATTTGCAACTAGTATCGTCTCAAAACTCACAATCCGTATCGAGTCATTCAAGGGTACACTTAGCCTCGAAATCTCCTTCAAGTTCAGGGTTGAGTGTTTTTAAAAATTAAATACTTTTTTTCTATCCTGAAAAAATGTGAATCATTTCTTAAATTTTTTTCTGATACGAATGGTATAACGTCTAATTTCGGGCTAAATATATAATTCAAAATAAAACAGTAATTTGCAATTTGTGACTGCGTACAGCGTTCCTAAAAGTAGAACGTTGGTACCATTGGATTACTTGATTGTGGTTAACTGTTTACGGCTCCAAACTGCAAATAATATCAAACTGCATTCCGCAAATAATATCAACTTCAAACAAATAATATCCTCCAAACTGCATTACGTGGAATTCTGAGATACCATGGGATCCTAAGGTTTGGTTTTGGTTTGGTTTATTTAATTATGGCAAAGCACACTAGGGCTATCTGCCTAAGGGGAGGGATGCCTTCGTGGAGGACTTTCTAAGGGAAACTGGCTCGTATACACGTTACACATGGGGAAAACCACGAAAACGCCCATGCAGCCCGCCCGTTCGCGGGATTCGAAACTCGGACCGAACTACCAGTGTTCAGCGATTTTACCGCTCGGCCGGGGATCCTAAGCATTCAGTCAATAAAAAAAAAAAAAAAAAAAAAAAAAAAAAAAAAAAAAAACAATATTTCTAAAATAGTTTTGAAAGTCATATGAACCGCAAGAAATTGAATATTTTTGTCACTCACTGTTACTGCTACCTAAAATAATTCTGAGATCAATAATACAGAAGATGTTTTACACATTTTTAGTTGGTTTGGTTTATTAGATTACGGCAAAGCACTCGAGCCTTCGTGGAGCCTCGAGCACTCACTATCTGCCTTAAGCCTTCGTGGAGGACTTTTTAAGTACACATTTTTACAATAATTTTTTTATGAAGAATTAAAAAATGAGAAATATCGTCCGCAACTTTTAAACTGATTCTTCTTTCAAAATGCGCATGTATATAAGCTGTGAGGTTGAAGGATATGTTACTGAGTTTTCCAAAAAGAAATATTTCTATTTCATAACTCAGAAATGTTGTGAAATACATGGCATTAAAATTTCTAAGAGCAAAATAAACAATAAAATATTAGGAAAGCTAATAAAAAAATGTCCCTTTTGTTGCAATTTAGAAAGGGAAAATCCGCCAATCGTTACTTTTACATGAAAAGAAGATTCCAAACTAATACTCGAAAAATGTATATACTGTTTCTAAAGTTAAATCACTGGTAAAAACAAAAAATCTGCCGATGGAGAAAGCAATTGCAAAGTCTTTATCTACATTTGCAGCAACAATAAATAAATATTTACAACTTTAAAATGTTAAAATACATAATGTTTATTAGCTTCGAAAATAAAATTCCGCCTCTAATTTCTGCTGCTCCATGTGCCTACCTTAAATTCTAAAAATTTTGCTGCTCGGTGCTTCGCTAAGTTTTAAGCATTTTGCCACCAAATGTGGCCGCATAGGTTGCACTGGTTCTGGCGGTGACCCTGCACATGCAGAAAAATACACAGCCTGCTCGTTCGATGGACTCTGATGGCATTATACGCGTTTAGTCGTCTTATGTACACGGCCACTGTTGAAGCATTGGATTATGGCAAAACATATAATGATTATCTGCATATGAGGAAGAATGTCTTCAGAGAAGAATTTTCCGAGGGAAACTGCCCATATTTAAGTTACCATGTAAGTAAAACAACAAAACTTCAAACAGCTATTTATACCGTCAGCGTTAGGAATAGAACTCACGAAAGAATGAATACCGGTGTTTTGCCATTTTAATCACTTTGGCCATCAACAGAACGGTATATTATTTCCATCTGCTTACCAGGGAGCGAGTAGATACAACACTTGAACAACGTATTCAAAAACTAAAGGCAAAGTTGGCTGCATAAGAATTTCCATGTTTTTACTCATGCGTAGCGCGAATGTTAACAGTTTCTCCCCCCAAACACCTTAATTTGTTTCTACTTTAAACAAATTATATTAGATAAATAATTTTCCCTCTCCCTATGATAATTCCTGTCATATGAGATATTTTTTTACTTTCGTCTAAATTTATTTTATTAGGATACAATATACAAAAACTGCTATCAAAACTTCGCAAAATGTGTTTGAAATTATTTAGTAATTAACTTTCATTATATCGTACAACACCTTCGAATATATCTCCAAATGCAATAAACAGCAATCCCAGCATCGTTCCTGTTGATTTTAAGCACAGAAATTCTGATCGAATTTAAATATACTTAAATCTGTTTTTGTGCGGTGGATAGGGACTGCATTAAAAAAAACGCACAAAACTTTACGAGTAGCAATTTAATTTTTTTTTTTTTTTTTTCAGTTACCATGTAGTCCGTGATCAGTTTTTGCTACAACTGTTGTCTCGGTAGCCTGATATACAAGAATGACTCCTTTTTAATTGATTATTTATTTGATTGATAGCTTCGTCAATTATGTTCCAATTTGATTGAAATTTTCATATACCGCACCAAAAAAAAAAAAAAAAAAAAAAAAAAAGAGGGGGGGGACCACACAAAAACAGGTTTGAGTGTACTAGTGTAATGCTGATGAACATTTTCTTGTGCCAGACACTTAGGATTTAGAATCTTCTCTTATGCAAGATATGAATGCGTAAAAGTCAATATTAAACGTATTTGAAGAAACTAATTTAAAGAAGCAATAATTTTAAATCTTAATAGTTCGATTTGCGCATGAATAAATTTTAAAAGATTTACAGAAAGCATCATTTGAAAGACCTACTTGGAAATTAAACAATTTTCAAAAAGGGGCATTATGACAACAAAGAAAAAAAGTAACTTAGAATTTTCTACAAACTATAAAACTACCACTATTTCGGAAATAATTTGATCACTAAAACAATTTACATATTGAGTTAATGATAAAATACAAAAGCCAGAAGACTTGTATAAAAGGGGGGAAATGCGATAATTATCACTGCAGTGGTTTTAAATCGAAACGTTAATTTAACTTCATTTTCTCATATACATATACATATTTTTAAATACAACTTTTTATGTTTATAATATTTTTTGTAATCGCAACTGTTATCGAGATTATAGTAATATTTTCTTAACAGTTCAGAATGGCAACAACAAAAATAGAAGAGCCAAAACAATGGTGACCTTATAAAAAATACGATAAGATGAAAACACAGTTCGATAGTGTAAAATTTTTAGAAATAAACAAATTATTAAAATAGCAAATAAATTATCGCTTACCGGTGGAAGCAAATATTTAAAACTTTGCGTATGGAAAACGGAAAACCCTTCTTCACAAGAACAGTACAAACATACGCTTATCGACTTTCCGAATCTGACTATAAACCTGAGAATGACAAAAAAGCAATTCGATTTCATCAACTACCAAGTAAGCGAAGAAAATGCGTCACGTGACTATGGTAACCAGCCAGTAAAACGAAAACTATTGACCTGAAACAGAAATTGCTCTGTCAAGTTCAAGGCAGTGTGTTCTAGTCGCTTCCGTGGATCGTACAAAATCCATCGTAATTGAAAAAAAAAAAAAAAAAAAAAAGCATTTTTTACTAAGCATCTTAAAATGTGCTGTGTTCTAGCGAAATGAATCTGAAATATGTGAAGAATGAAACTATGGCCTAGTTTTAATTCTACTATCAACTATCTCTAACAGTTGCTACCAAGGATAAACAAACAGGTCTGTTCGTTAACTCAAGAAAAGATGTTTCCCGTTTTGCGCCGAGATAAGCAAAATTTAATATTTCATATCGTTCTATGAATATTAAAACCACATGGTGTAGTCCTATCAATCTGAAAAACATTCACCAGTACAATGTTAATATTATTAGCCAGTTGTGCACCTAGTTACGGCAGACTGCTATGAAAAGTTGATATATAGTGCGCCTTCCTTAATATGATCACGTTTTCCCACTAGTATTTGGTATCATTAACCGAATGATCGACTTAAACGATGAGGAAAAGATGCCCTTCAAAACAGCAATGGAATTTAACTACTTTAATATAAATAAAAGAAACAAAGAAAATCTGAAAGGTATTCAGAATTTAACGTCGCACAGAGGATTTCTTAATGCTTTCGCTGTGAAAGCATTACAGTTACCAGTCTGCTTTTCCGCTCACTCCCGCTAATGCACTTTTTTTTAATTTTTTTATTGGGGGGGGTCCGTTTAGCTTTAATTACGCATCTCTTTCTTCACAGTTAAGCCACATAGAATTCAAGGGCAAACTCCCAAAATATTTTTAAACAAATATCTTTAGATTTCTCCATACAGTGTTATGGGTTCTCATTACATTTTTTACATTCGCTATATTATTTCTTTTAAAACTAGCCGCTCTAGAGGCAAACGCCCAAAAGAGTGTATGATGATTTTAATAAGTCTAGGTAACATAATTTATAAAAATATTTTATATTTTCAATCCCACCCTGTTACCCGGCTTGGTGAGCTCAGTATTTTGATTCTTATATATTAGTAAATTGAGCATTTTTTGCTTTAAAAGTGGTTGAATCATCCGTTTAAAGTTTTTATGCAATAGTTGTAGAATTATCGACAGTTTAAAAGCAACACATATGTATCCACTCTGTTACCTTCCTTGGTGACCTCAGTTTTTTATTTTTATGTTCGTAAATTGTGCACTTTTTCCCTTTAAAAGTGATTGAACTATGTTGCTCTTGTATTTCAGTTAAGATTTCTATGCCTTTAGTTAATCTGCATGCAGTAGTTGTAGAATTATCAGCAATTTAAAAGTTTAAGTGGCGCTAGGCCTAATGAGGCCACCATTTACTTACATTTGAAACTCTTAGTAGAATACAGAATTAAGTAAGTTTGGGCACCAGCTTTCAGTGTCTTAGCTTATTGGGACCAAAAGTTAACTTTCAATTTAAAGCTGATCTTTTTGCCTGTTGGCCGAATTGCTTGTTTTTGCCCAGAAATTTTTCCTAATTTTAATTATAAAAATTCTTTTTTTAAACTGTTTTTAACTGTATTTTGGTGTTTTAGGCTTTTCTCTATTTTACAATTTTTAATAAAGGTGCTTTGAATTTTTATGTATTTTTGCCTTGCCGCGATATGAGAACTGAATTGATTGAATGAGAAATACACCTCTTATGAAATTCGAGGGAAGAAATTTAAATGAAATGCAGCAAAAAATACGCATAATTTAATAGGCCGTACAAGGAAGTCATGTGGTATTTATATCAGTTACTTTTCTCTTCGTTATCGATAATAAATACACCTTTTTCTTGTTACAGTCAATTTAGGTAAGCTCATACTTCACCGCGGGTCACAACGTATTTCCACATATCTCCTGTTTAATAGTTTTCACACAGGGTTTTAAAAATTGTTCTGCGTTCAGCCACATGTCTCGGCAAGAGCTGGTGAAGATTATATTTTTTAGCTTTTTTAAGTTGAAAATCTTGGTTTATTATTTTATTTATTGTTGCTACAGATGTATTTAAAGACTGTGCAATTGATTTCTCCATCGGCATATTTTCTCTTGTTACCAACAGTTAACTTTAGAAACAATAAACTCTTTTCGGGTATTCGTTTGGTCTTCTTTTCACGTAAAAGTAATGATTGACTTTTTTTCTTTTCCGCTTAATAATGTTGCCTATTTTGCACTTAGAAATTTTAATACTATACATTTCGCAATACTTTTGAACTATGGAACAGGAATATTTCTCTTCGGAAAGCACAAAAACTTATCCTTCAATTCACAGCTTGTTTACACGTGACATTTTGAAAGAAGAATATATTTAAATAAGACGACAATATGTCTCATTTGAAGTAATAAGCTGTTGCCATCTCTGATTCATTTTACTGTATCAGGATCATTATCAATATTGGTTTAATCACTGAAATAATTTCTCTCCGGACATTTGGTGACCCTAGTGTGCAGGACACTGCAATGTGCATATCTTAATGCATCGACATAATTTCCAGTGTAGAAGAGACTTTCTGCTATTTTAGTGTTTCCGGACAATGCGCTATGAAGTGTAAAAATGCCTGATACATATATTAACAGCAGTGATGTGCAGCTGGAAACAAGCAAAGTGAGTGTAAAGATTCCCCCGTTCTGGATTGATAGACCAGAGATATGGCTCTATACTGTTGAAGCCCAATTTAAAATTGCAGGAATTACATCAGAAGAAACTAAATTTAACTACTTAGTGGCTCAGCTGGGTCCTAAGTTTGTAGAAAATATATGGGACATTATCACGATGAAACTTCAACTAAATATTCAGCAGCAAAAGAAAGGCTAACAAACTTATTTAAAGAGAGTGAAAATAAGCGCATTAAAAGATTATTGACTGGTTTAGAACTCGGCGATATGAAGCCAAGTCAACTGCTGCGAACGATGAGAACGCTTGGTGATAATAACGAGGTATCTGAGAAAGTGTTACGTGCTCTATGGATGGAAAAGTTGCCTAACACAGTCAGAAATATCCTGATAGTCAGTGATGAGAGTCTCGAAAAATTAGCCACAATGGCTGATAAAATTGCGGAAATGGGTCCACGTATGGAAGTTGCAAGTGCAAGTAATGATGCCCCCCCCCGCCAGTTAACGAACGTCTGGCCAAATATCTGCTTTGGAACAACAAATAGCTTCGCTCAGTGTACAACGTGCCAGATCACGAACTCATAGTCCCAGCCACAGCCATAGCAGTCGCAGCAGATCTTGGAAACGGTATAATCCAAAAGTGAAACTGTGCTATTTCTACTTTAAATTTGGGAAAAGGTTTTTCCGGAAACGTGTACCCCTCCTTGCAGCTGGAAACCGACGGAAAACTCCAGCCAGCAGTAGATTCGGCTGCTAGCTCTATCAGGTTCTATGTTCCTTCTTACCTTCTTCGGGAACATGCAAGGACCTGACTCGGAACAGAGAGCTTACTAAAGCTATGTTCACTAATTGTGGGAAGTAGACAGGATACACAAGAAGGGTATACAAAACCCTTTATTTTTCTCTATTTACAAAAACTTCCGTACTTCGGAATACACAGACCCGCTACTCGGGGTCTAACGTAAAAATATAAAATAAAACTAAACTCTAATTTAACTTTAGAATAATAAACGTGGAAGATTGGCCTTATAATAACAGGAAGCTGTATGTAGAACAGAGAACTGTGAACACTACAATACGTTTAAAATTATCAAGAGGATTAAAACCTCTGGCCTGGAAGGCAACCAGCAACTGCGTAAAACTTCTAAGGTAAGCGGCCTGCTTCGACTCAACTGCTTCCTCTCTCTCGCTTGGCAAAAAGCCACAACTTAAATACTTGGCGTTCGCCAGACAAACTTTGCATAAATAACCTTAACGCTTATAATTCTGGCCGGAAGTAGAAAATAAGAAGTGATAGTAAAGATTTAAAATAAAATAAACGTTAGTAAAACTTAAGATCCTTACATACTTCCCGCCAGAGTTAATTAGTTTGAAACTGAGGTCTAAAACGACCTTGTTGAAAACTTTTAGCTCTAGAATCTAACGCGAGGCCAATCTTTTACAAACATTTTTTCGCTAGAAACTAGAAATTTAAAAGAAAGAAATTTGTTTTTACAATAGCAGCTCCCAGGATACACAATTTTTTTCATCTGTACTGCATCTAAACAGGAGCTTTTATTCAAATCTGGTTCCTTCCAGAGATCTGGAAGGAAAACTAGTTTAATGAAATGTTACACAATGAAATGGCAAGTAACATATACAATTATACTTCTCTTAACATTCTTATTTCATTCATGACTATTTTAATTATCTCTCCCCGTGCTCTCTGACATGTGTTGTAAAAGAACACCAAACACGAATGTGTTTCTGTCTACGTGTTCAACACTTCCTCCTACAATCAAAACACTAACGTGTTAAAAATTCAACATACCAAGACCTCGTAACACACACCCTAATTTCAACTCTAAACCCTGAGGTACTATTCTGAAAGTGGCTAACTCTGAAGTGTAGCGTCAGAGAGCCTAACTACATCATTCAACCTTTAACACATATTCACCATGATTTAGTCTTTTTACAGTCACACGAATAAAAAAAAAAAAATTACTTTCACTTTTACCATATCACGGTATTTCTTAACATTTAAAATAACAGTTCACATTGTATATAAGAACATATTAACATGCCGTTAATTTTACACATTTGAAAACATACATTAGTAGTACATTGTTAACTTCTATTCTTTTCAAAGCAAGTGCCAATTCTTTCTACATTGAAATACTACATTTCAAAAAGTCTTTCAGACTAAAACTTCTTTCTTGCCAGAATGTTTTAAATAAAATTTATACAATAACTTTTTACAATATTTAAGTCTTTACACAACGCTATTAT